TGACTACCTAGTCTAAGATTTTGCCTCTTTGTGACACAACTTTCAACAACTCCTGCCTCTTAGTATGTATGAATGTATGTATGTATTATTTATTCTCAAGAAGGAAAGATCCAAGAAGCTAGCCAGAAACCACAGGGGAAAAGTGCAACTTACGTGTTTAAAAAGGAATACTTTCAGGCTGTTAATGATTATTAAATCATCAAATTAATTTTGTTGTACTTTCATTTACTTATTTTCTCTTTATTTTACTTCTTTCCATCACCATTTATCCTCCCTATACCCTCTTCCACTTCTTCCCACCTCACAACCGCCACACTATTATTCATGTCCATGAGTTCTTTCTCTTTTTATTTTGTTGTACGTTTAAAAACTTTTGAAACTTTAGAGAAATCTTTCTGCTGAATTTATGTGGGCCACAGCCAAATGCAGGGGTTATTGACTTCACGTAGCTCAATTCATTTTTATTATAGCTGGTAAAACTGAAAATCATCGAGGGGAAATAGAATGTCAACATTTAAGATTTATAAACTGCCTTTTGGGAATGGTGGTCTTGGACCTAGAGATATTATTCAAAAGGAAGTTTGGAAGTGAGAATGTTAGGTAACTGGTTGAGGAAGATAAAAAATGTATTGACAACTACAATTAAGATATTGTAAACTGATTGCCATGCCTAAGTTAGGTAATAAACACTATTTTGTATGAAAATAATTATAGATGTTTTTTCTTTGAGAAAATTATTTTGAAGCCTGTATTTTAAAGAAGAAAGAATCAAGAATTTCTCATAATTTATTTAGTAATTACTTTATTAGTTAAGACGCTCCAGAAAAACAAAACCAATAGGTTATATGTGTGTGGATAGATAGATAGATAGATAGATAGATAGATAGATAGATAGATAGATAGATGATAGATAGACAGACATTTAGATAGCTAGATGGAATTAGTTCATATAATTATGGAGGCTGAGAAGTTCCAAGTTCTGTAGTCGACGAGCTGAAGACCCAGGAGAGACGAGATGTAGTGCCAGATCCAGTCCAAAGGTCTGAGAACAATGAGATGTTTCATTTTAAGTCAGAAGGCTGGAAAATACCCATGCCCTACTTCAAGACAGGCAGAAGGAAGATCTCTCTTCTTTAGCCTTTTTGTTCTAATGACATTTTGGTCAATGACAGACCACCAATGATAGTGGTCCCATAAGATTACAGTGGAACTGAAAAATTCCTATCACCTAGTGACGTTCTAACGTCATAGTATAACACATTATGTGTTTGTGGTGATGCTGGGGGAAATAAAGCTGTGGTGCCAGATGTGCAGAAGCATAGTGCATACAATTATACAGTGCAAAACACTTGATGGTGATAATGAATGACTGTGTTACTGGTTTATGTGTTTACTATACTATCCTTTTTGTCATTATTTTAAAGTGTACTCTTTCTACTTATTTAAAAACAAAAAAAAAGAAGAAGCTTTGCTGTCCAGCCGGTGTTGCTCAGTGGTTGAGCATCAACCTAAGAACCTGGAGGGCACGGTTTGATTCCCTGTCAGGGCACATGCCTGGGTTGCAGGCTCGGTGCCCAGTAGGGGGGCATCCAGGAGACAGCTGAGCAATGATTCTCTCTCATCAGTGATGTTTCCATCTGTCTCTCCCTCTCCCTTCCTCTCTGAAATCAATAAAAAAATATATATATATATATTTAAAAGTTTTGCTGTAAAACAGCAAGTCATATTAACCAGCTAGCAGCCTCATACATCTTGTGTTAACTGAATCTCTTGGTCGCATCATTTTCTCTTGTGGTGATTTAATCTTGTGTTGTTCTGTACAGTAATATGCTATACAGACTTGTAGCCAAAGAGCAATAGGCTATACCATATAGGCTAGGTGTGTATTAGGCTAAACCATCTAGGTTTGTGTAAGTGCACTCTATATCTGCACAAAAACAAAATTTACTAGCAATACATTTTTTAGAACATGTCTCTGCCATTAAGTAGTGCATGACTGTATGCAGTTCTTCAACTGATTGGTTGAGGCCCAGCTACATTAGGGAGGGCAATATGCTTTACCCATCCTACTGACTCAAATATTAACCTTATCCAGAAATACCCTCAAAAATAACACCCAGAATAACGTTTGACTAAATGTCTGGTTGACAGAAGTAACCATCACAAGCACACAAAGGCATAAAGATAAAACTGAAACTACTGGAGCTTAAATGTAGAAAAATAAGAGAGATAAACAAAAAACATAATGAGAATGAAGGCATATAGGGAAATCTGTGAGTCAGTCATGCTTTAAAGACCACATTGAAGTTAGATTGGTCTTAAAGTATTTCTGTATGCTATCATTTCTTGCATATTTTATAATTAATTGTATATTTTTTTATTATAATAAAAAGTATGAATGTACTATTTCATATTTTAATGACTGACTTGTTACAGTGAATAAGGAAGTATAACTTCTATTTATTTTCAAGGATTAAGAATTTGAGGGATTTTTTTAGAATATAGAATCAACCTTTTGTTTTAAGTGCTTGAAGATATTAAGAGGGTTTTTTTTTTATTTTGGGTTTTCTGGTTTTGGTATTTCCAAAGCTGCTCACCCATGTTTTAAGCTTGTGTTGTTGAAGAGGTGTTTCTTTATTCTTTCTGGTAGATGTAGAGAAATATTTCTAGAAGTAAGCTAATGGGTAATACACACTTTAGTGTGATCACTGTAATTAGCTAATTAAATTGCTCTCTTCACTTAGTAAAAAATAAGAGTTTGGGAGAGGTAAATTTGAGACAAGGGTCACATGAGGGCCAGATAGGCTTGGTGAGTAACACAATGGTAGCTTTCAGTCCAGAGGATTCACTTCACAGGAGTTCAAGGCATATTAGTGAGAATTAGCGTACTAGTGCTAGTAAGGATTCTACTTAGGTGAGAGAAATTAGCAAATGGGGTGGATGAAAACTAAAGGTAAAGATTTCCTGCTAATTAACCAAGACATAAATTTCTGATCCCTACACTAGTTATGTACTGGTTTTGAAAAGATGTTTTAAAATGTTTAACTCGCCCAGCAGTGTGGCTCAGTGGTTGAACATTGACCCATGAACCAGGAGGTCACAGTTCAATTCCCAGTCAGGGCATATTCCCGAGTTGTGGGTTCCATCCCCAATGTGGGGCGTGCAGCAGGCAGCTGGTCAATGATTCACTTTCATCAATGATATTTTTATCTCTCTCTCCCTCTCCCCCTCTGAAATCAATACAAATATATTTAAAAAATAAAAAAATTGAATGTCTAACTCTTTGTCTTTATTTTCTCATTTTTCCCACATAATCTGTTTTAAATGAATGTTTTTGAGAGTGTTATAAATACAAATTATATAGATGTAGTGTGGATAAATAACTGACTAATGGGAAGCTGTTTAGGGATATATACTTATCCTGACCCTTTCTTAACATAGTGAAGTTACTAATATTTGTGTAGTACTTGACAGCACTGCCTCCTGTTCTCTGTATGTGTACAGATGAATGGATATTGAGTCCATATTCTTCTTCACACCGATTGTATGTATTTTAGACTCTGATAGAAATGTTTTTATTTGGAAAACACACACATGTGTATACCTATTTCCCTGGTACTCTTCCAGTTTTTAGAAAAAATGTTTAAATTTTTCCTGCTGAAAACATTTAGATTCTTTCTGAATAAATACATCATCTTTTTTAAAAACCTTCCCCCAAGATTTCTTTTTAAATGGTTCACAGTTAAATTTAAATTTCTATATTTAGGTAGAATTATGTTTATATACCAACCACCAGTATCCAGGAAGTTCAGTGGTAAGGTTGACACATAGGGAGTTTGTAGTCTATTTTGTAGTCTGTGTATTTAGACAAGGTTTGAAGCTTACCTAACAAAATCGCTTAAACATTCAAGCAGAATTTCTTTAGTACAAATGCTCTATTTGATTTCTTATAATTGTTAAGATAACAGTGTGTCACTTTATAAAGATTAGTTCTCAGTAATATGTGTTAGATTTATTCCTTTCAAAGAACGGTGCATTCAGAAACAGCTTTTATATGTAAATATTTTTGTAATATTGGATAGAGTTGGTTTGGTGCAATCACTATGGTTTAATCAAGTTTGAAAGAAGTTACAGGCACATTTTTGTAGAGTTTTCTGCAGCATCTTTATTTTTTTCAGCTGGATGTATTTTATGTTCCTTCTAACTAATCAAAATAAGAAAGTGATTGCCTGTGCCAAAATATAGGACTATCATTTTTCACATTCTTTTCTTTTCCAGGTCATTTTCAAGTAAGATTGTGTTTCTAGGACTTCTGAATTCCAGAAAACTCCCGACTTTGTAGATATAAGGGCCCAGATGAACATTTCAGGGGGACTCTAACTTTTCATGCAGTATGTTTTGTGTTGTGCATTCCAGATACAGTTAACTTTTTGTGTGCATGTGATTAGTGTGGAAAGAAATTAATGCAGTCCCGTATTATGATTTATGGACTGAATCCTTTGCCCACTGAAGACTTGCCAAAACTAAAACTATTTTTTTTCCTTTGGATATTAGAAACAGCTACTGTTTTTGTTGATCTTTTAAAGGTCTGAATGGGCCTATTTCAAATCATACCAGCATGGGAGCTCAGATTAATAATATACTTATTCAACTAGTGATACTGAGTGAAACCATTGCTCACATGGATATGAGGATACAATTTCATAAAATTATTTTCAGGTGCATTAATGCATTTTTGGAAGCTGCACATGATTTTTCTTTTGCATGAAAGAAATCAAGGATTTCTGTTTATTGTATCAGTTACAGATAGGCTTATAAGTTAATTTAATTGCATTTTTTATGCCTTAAAACATAAGACATTTTACTTTTAAAAATAGTAATGTGATGGCTGAATTGTTCCCCATAATGTTTAATTTAATGTATTTTTCTTTCTTGAGACATCATGACTGTCATGTCTTTAATTTATATTGAGAAAAATTCCTAAATTTTGTTGTTGTCAGATACACCAAGCTGCTGAAGTTTCTCAGCTCCGGGGAGCAAGGGTAATATCTCCTGAAGATCTTCTGTTTTTGATGCGCAAAGATAAGGTAATCTAAAATGTTCTACTGAATTAAAATGCCATGTTTGGTGCTTAACTATACTTATATGAGGAAACTAAATACACTTTTCACAAAGCTTTCAAATTGGTATCATAACTATTGAATTGATATTTTAGTCTTCATAGTTTGCATGACAGAATGGCTTACTATAAGAGAATTTATTTTTTTTAACATGGGCAAAGGCATGTATGTAAAACTATGTTGACAACTAATTCTCACATATCTGTACACACCTATTTTGACATGTTCATTGCTACATAATAGTCATTAAATATTTACTGTTCTGATAAGTGAGTAGCATATTTACTTTTCTTCTAATTTTATACAGTATTACAGGCTTTCAGAGAGTAATTTTTTACCTTGAAATACAAAGTTTATTCTGTGACACTAGTTTATAGGAAATAGAAAATCAATCAAGATGTATATTCCATTAGGATAAATATATACCATAATGTCTAGGGTTTTACTATTCTTTGAACACTGTTATAAAAATATCTAAGCTGGTATTTACATGTCTAATTTTGTCATAACTCTCTTCCATGAGTAGCTAGTTAAAAATATTTTATAAAATTTTACATGTTTTAATAAGTTGCATGTAAAAGTCACATGTAAAAAATAATCACAGTGTGTTGTGACAGATGCTATTGTAAATGAGCAAGCAATGCCTAGTTCCCAATGTCAGTCCCATCTTTCATTTCTCCACTGATTTTTCCTGGCCTTTTATTATACTCACCCACTCCTCTGCCACCATTTTTGTATGCTTGTGGCTCTATTTTTTATCAAAAGCCTTCCCATTTGACCTTTTGAATAAACTTTTGGCTCATTACCTCTTCAGTAGTCTGAGGAATATAAAGGAAAAGAAAGAAATATCTTCACTTTCAAGAAGATATACTTTAGTTTGGAAAACCAGTATGATTTAGTTGAAAGAAGCATTTTAAGACTCACAGAATTTTAAGATTGTATGATTAGACGTAGAAGCTGTAGGATTTTTTTGCAGTGGAGGTTTCTGCCTGGGTAAGACTCATGCAAGTATAGCTAGAACGAACCAAACACAGAAGAACTCACCAGGATTCTGGTTGAGGAATCTAGACAAAATCTGATTATTGTGATGGCACTGGAACTGGATAGGAAGGAAGAATTCAAAGAAATCGTGAAGAGTCAAAATAGGCAGGATTTGGTGACCATTAAACTTGGAGGACTAAGGCAAAATGGGCTTACATAGCAGTGGTCCTGGGAGGAAGGAGCCGAAAGGTGCTGTTGGCAGAAATGAGGGCCTGGAGCCAAGATTCCCTATGAAGGCATCTGGGAAGAGGGAGTTAGCGGCATGTATCTAGTCAAGTTTTCCTTTTCACTGACAGAGGTGAAGAGGCTAGCATACACACACAAAGTCCATATTGGTACGTTTTCCTGCCTTTGGGGAAAGTAAAATTTAAAATCCTATTGAAACTTCAGGAGCATACACTAATTGACAGTGCCCTTTACTGTCCAGTGGGACTCTTAATCAGAATCATATTAGCACCTGAGAACATACCTATAATATTATAGTTGCCATTGTTATCATCTTTCTCCTCAAAATAATACTTTTATTTATATGATGATATTTTCTAAACAGGATTTAAAGTAGTTTACATAGGAGTGATATAAGACAAAAATACAATCTAAAGTACTGAACGGAATCAGCAAAGAGAAGAGGATAGCAAAAGACCTGTTTTTTTCTTTTCATAATTTCAAATTATATAAAGCAGTATTTATTGACTGTCTATGTTTTACGTATTACTCTAGGCAGTTCATTTATTCACAATAATCCTGTAATGTAGGTATTTTACTTACTTTGTAAATAAAGAAACTAAGGTTCAAAGGTTATCTTTTACGTGTGACCCTGCTAAGGTCTAGTTGCAAGACTAATTTTAACCTCAGTTTCCTTATGTATAAAGAGGAGATGATTATAGTTGTCTATATCTCAGGGCTACTGAAAATATCAAATAAAATGCATGTAAAAGAGCTTTGTAAAATGCAATAGTTTTCAGCTGATATGGTATCTTAAACTTAAAGGTCAAGAACCAGTAATAATACATTCCAAATGTAAGCACACAACAAATTACAAAGTATTTATAAGTTACTTTTAAAGCTAAGCAGTATTCTGGTTTTCTAATAAACCTAAGGAAAGCCATCATTAAGACCCAACTATCATTAATCAGCTTTGAGTTTCATAAAAATATGTTTCTCATATTACTGAATGTTTTCCAGAAATATAAACCAGCTCTTCTAAATAAAATAAAAGTATCAGAGAATAAAAAACAATAAAAGGAGAGTGCATGCCTTTTTAAAGCAGTTGTCTGGATTGTTTATAAATCATTTAAAAAATAAAATAGCTTAGTATGGAGAGTGTGATATTTCTCACAGTCTTCAGAAAGAATTTAAGGCTCTTTATAAGACCAAAATATAAAGGTAATTATTGTGATTCTGGAGCATCTGGATACTTGTAAATGAAAAGTGCTTTTAAAAATACTTGTGTTTCAACTTTTATGTTTAATTTGTGACTACATTTCTTTTTATTACATAATATTATGCTGAGAATTGGCGTATTTCCCCCAGTGATTCTAGGGTACTACTTTATTAAATTTAGTTATTATAGTCTTTACTCAGTAAAGTGAATATATGTATAAGGTTTCTTATTTACTGATTTCATATTTTTAATAGAAAAAACTTAGAAGACTGTTAAAATACATGTTTTTCCGAGACTACAAATCAAAGATTGTCAAAGGCATAGACGAGGATGATCTTCTTGAAGGTAATCTAAACAAAATACTAAACTAAGAACAATGACACAGGTATGCTGGACCTCACATTTATGCACTGTCAATGAAGATATTCCAGTCAGAGTAGAATATATGTACTTCTGTTAAATAATGTAGTTTAGAAATTAACAACAATTTTATTTAGTTGACAGCTAATTCTTATCATTTTCTACTTATATGACTTAATAGTAATCTGGTATTTAAATTCTTTCTTTTAATAATATAACCTGCTTTACATCAGAATATCATGAAACTAAGAAAATTGTGTTGATTTAAAACATTGTTTTAGCAAGCATAATTTTTCTCTTATAGATGTAGAGAACCAGACAGACCTACTATGTCTTTGAAATTGATACATATGGGTTTTTCTTAATTTATTATATAAAGTATGTCTTATGATATAAAATCACCTTGTTTTGGTGTATATTTCTATGCTGTTTGAAATCCAGTAAAAAAAAAAAAACCACAAAAAAACAAAAACTAATGCAGAGTAGAAAAATTTCCTTATCTGATTTTCCAATTCAATTCCCTATTCTGGAATATTTAGAAAAAGTATTAATGTTGCAGAATCTAAAAATGCTAAGCCAAAATAGATAATTACTAAACAATGTTGTTGAATTAAAATAAATACAGTTGACCCTTGAACAACATGGATTTGAATTGTGGGTCCATTTATATGCAGATTTTTTTCAATAAATAATATAAATGTACTTTCTCTTATGATTTTCTTAACATTTTCTTTAGTTTATTTTATTGTAAGAATGCAGTATATAATATATATAATATAAAAAATATGTTTTAATGACAATGTATGTTATCAGTATAGCTTCCAGTAAACAGTAGGCTATTAATCGTTAAGTGCTGGGGGAGTCAAAAGTTACAGGTGAGTTTTTGACTGAACTGTGTTTGGCACACCTAAACCTCACATTGTTCAAGGTTCAACGTATATTATGTTTTTAGAAATAACATATATTTTGAATTTAACACAGTGACTGCATAGTGGTATTTATTGTTGCCATATACACTGAGTGGCCAGATGATTATGATCACCTGACGTTTGTAGGCAAATTAGCTATAATTTTGCACTGAAGTTGCTAGAGGGCCAGACCATTATAAATAGGGAAGCAGGTTGTTTACCACGACAGTAGAAGTGATTTTTTTCTGAAGATATGGGTAAACAACGCAATTTAACACTGCATGTATACACTGCATATATACACTGCATTATACACTGAGTGGCCAGATTATTATGACCACCCCATCAGTACTTCGTTGGGCCACCTTTTGCCTTCAATACTGCGGCGATTCTTCTTGACATTGACTCCATGAGATGTTGAAAGGTGATTCAAGGAATCTGACACCATGCCTGATGAATAGCACTGTCCAGTTCTGTGAGATTTGATGGTTGTGGAACGAGCTGCCTGATGGCTCTTTTAACTTCGTCCAACAAATGCTCAATTGGATTGAGGCCTGGTGATTGTGGGGGCCACCTAAGCAAGGTAAAGTCTCCCTCATGTTCTTGAAACCACTCCTGCACAATATGAGCACCGTGGCATGGCACATTGTCTTGTTGGAAGAAGCCATCTCCATTGGGATACGCCATCAACATGATAGGGTGAACTTGATCAGTAACGATACTTAGGTATGTTGTGCTATTCAGACGTTATTCCACACGAATTAAAGGGCCCAAATCATGTCAGGAAAGCATGCCCCAATCCATAACACTGCCCCCACCAGCTGGAAGGGTTGTACTCATGCATGTGGGGTGCATGCTTTCATGCTGTTTTCGCCAAATTCTCACTCTGCCATCCGCATGATGCAACTGGAAACGTGATTCATCGGACCACATGACTTTTTTCCAATGCTCAACTGTCCAATCTTGTGTTTCTGTGCGAATTGGAGACGTTTTATCTTGGTAACTGCAGACAGCAAAGGTGTTCGAACAGGTCTTCGACTTCCATATCCCATACGATGCAGTGTACGGCTAATTTGCCTACAGACGTCAGGTGGTCATAATAATCTGGCCACTCAGTGTATATATTGATAAAGTATCTAAACAAACTCTACTGGATTAAGAATTCCAGAAAACTACTCAAAACCAACTGAAGAGTTAACAGACTTTGAAAGAAACTACTTTCATTTACCTCAACAAATCAGCAATTGTAATAGTCATGCAAAAAAATATTCTCATCAAATGTTTAGTCAGTGTTGTCTATTTAATATTCCTGAAATTCTCATAGAATTTAATTCCTGGAAAATAGTTCTCCAGATTAAATTAAATGCTCCCTTTTATGAAGAGCATGAAGAGTACAGACTTGAAGTAAAGTAGATTTGAATTTCAATTAATCCCAGTTCTCTGCTTTCTCTCTGTAAGACACTAAGGGTCAGTTTTCTTATTTATAAGTCAGAAATTATACCAATTACCATGTGTAATTATTATGAAATTTCAACCAAATGTATGAAAAGCTCCTGATACATTTCTGCCACTGAATCAATGATAGCTGTCAATACCATGCTTTGAATAAATGATAGCTGTCAATACGGTGCTTTGAACACCACGATGCTCAGAATGGTAAGACTAGTATCAGTTGCACTAGCATCATCATATCAGTTCTCTGTCCTCTCTTATTAATTTCAAATATCTCCTCTTTATACTCATTTAAATTTTCTAATTTTGTGTGTCTTAATATAAAATTTTTTAAAAGTTGATATAATGTATATAATAAACTATTTACTCAAGTAAAATACATCTACTGAGGTGGGATTTGTATAATGGCCATGTGAAGAGTGTGGTTCTCTTCCCCAGTGAAAGACATTTACCTAGTGAAAAAATTTTTAATTATAGTTTAAGTTGTTTTTTTTTAGAAATTGTCCTAAGAGCATACAGCAAATGAAGAAACACATGTTCAAGAAAATCTACTAAATCTCATTAAGACCAGTGAGTCTGTTGCTTTTGAGCCATGATCTACTCCCAACATTCCTCTCCTCCCAGCCTACCCTGGTACCCCATCTCGGTATGATAGAAGCTTTACTCTGGGCAAGTGTGGCCAAGAACACGGGACACCTGCTTTTCCAGCTCCCAGTCTAGGGTAACAGTTTCACCCCAGGAGGGGCAGGTCAGCATCCCTCATCTCCTCTGGCTCCACGTTGCAGAAGCTCTATTCTAGGCAGGCATAACATGGACTGGAGCTGCCTCTCATCCTCTATTCATAGGGAAGTTCCACCCCAGACAGAGCAGGCTGAGAATACTGGGCCCTGATCGCCCCCACCTTAGCTTTCTCATAGGGAGTGAAGATCCATGTCTGAGGGGATAAGCCTAAAAGACACAATTCCCATCTTTGACCAACTCCTGATTCTTGAATCCAAGATAGTTTTTCCAGGAGACACTGATGGCTGTTTCCACCCCCAGCTCCAGTATAGTGGTTAAAGATTCTGCCCAGAGGGAAAGGCAGGACAATAACTGGATAGCTCTGCAGCCCTCCCTAAGGGGACTGACTGACTGGAACAGAGCGGGTAAAAAACAGTGGAGATCCTTGTGGTGAGCAATTAAGAGGAAGCTGGTAATTTCTTGATACTAGTTGCAACAAGCATAAACAGTGCATAAGCTAAAAGTTAACAGAGGAAACATAGGAAAGAGACAGATAAGAAGTGTCCTCCTGGGGTCAGAGCAAAACTTAAAAGCTGATGATACCTTAACTCTGCAAAGAGGCCCAGCATTATGTAGATCATTCTGTGGAGCAATCCATGCTCAAGAGTATGAACAAAAGCAATAGAGCAGTCAGCCAGGAATTAGTGGAAATAACAGCGGTATGTGGTATCAACAAATAGAGTCAGTCTAGTCCAGTGATGGCGTGTCAGCATTTTGAAAAACCCTAACTTAACTCTGGTGCCGTGTCACATATAGAAATTTTTTGATATTTGCAACCATGGTAAAACAAAGATTTATATTTTTGATATTTATTTTATATATTTACATGCCATTTAACAAAGAAAAATCAACCAAAAAAATGAGTTCGCGTGTCACCTCTGACACGCGTGTCATAGGTTCGCCATCACTGGACTAGTCAGTAACTTACTGGAGAGATCAGGAGAAGCGAAAGCCAAAGAGAAACTGACTAAAAACAGTCATCCCTGGTAAATGAGAAGACTGTTTGCATGCTCAAGTCTGTGCCTCTGACGAGCAACTTCTGAGGCGGCACACTAGGAGGGAAAGAGATTGTATTGAACTAGTTCAGCCATCACTGAGCAAATAAACAAACCAATGATGACAACAAGCCCCAGGCAGGGAAGGGAATTATTATCTAAGTTGCTGCAATATACTACCTTAATGTAGTATACTCCATTTTCAACAGCCATAAAAACAAAATACTAGATATGCAAAGAAATAGGTATGTGTGATCCCTGAAAGGGGTGGGGGAGCAGACAACACAAAAGGCCCAGATGTTGGACTTGGAGACAAAAACTTCAAAATATCTATTATAATTATGTTCAAAGAACTAAAGGAGACCATGTTTCAAGAACAGAAGAAAGTGTGATTGCAGTGTTTTATAAAATAGAGAATATCAATTAAAAGTTAGAAATTTTAAAAAGAAGCTAATGGAAATTCTGGAGTTGAAAAGTATAAAACCAAAATGAAAAATTCAGTAGATTGGCTCACAGTAACTTTGAATGAAAAATATTTGAAGAAAAATAATCAGTGAACTACAACAGATTGTTAAAGATTATGCAGTCTGAAGTACCAAGAGAAAAAAGAATGAAAGAAAATCAAAAGAGCTTCAGAGAAATATGAGACTCCATTAAGTGAGCCAACATATGCATAATAAGACTATCAGAAGGTAAGGAAAGAGAAAAAGAGCAGGAAAAAATAATCGAAGAAATA